CCCCTTTTATTTCTAGTATTCAACGTCAAAATAAAATTGGCTATCAATTCCGGTGACTTTCAACCTAAAAGATATTTTTTTCTCAAAACAGGAAAATGCGCTCTTCAATAAAAAATGCTTTTAAAATATCATATTAAAAAAAAGTTAAAACTAATATGCAAATTGAATTAAAAGGTTAAGAATAATTAAATGTTAAGTGTGTAGTTGTAGTTTTAGCATAATGATTTTCTATATATAAACGAAGAAATAATTATAAGTAATTAACTTTTCACAAATAGACCGTGACATGCACCGAGGAGTGACGAAAACTAGCAGCAGCACAGGTAATTTTAAATCTTATGAAATCCTATAATAATACGAAGTGGTTGCTATAGTACCTATATAATCTCCTATTATTGGGCAGGATTCCTATCACTATTACACATAACTAGTAAACCAGTGAACCAATCGTTCACCAAAACCTGATTTAAAAAAAAATGTATTTAATTAATTGAGAACTTCGGAGATTTTGTGTGGTTTCGTTTGAAATTCGTGATTTCTCGAAAACCGGAAGTGCTACGTTACTCAAATCCGGTATGTAGTCTTATCAGACTATTCTTAACTTACTACTTATAACTTAAATATTCTCTTTATCTATCTCTTACGGTTTGGCAGCTGTAACAGCACCACAGACGGACGGAGGGACTTGTCTAATAGATAAGAGATAATAAACCATTTATTTACTCCTCACAATACAAATACATAAACAATGTGGGAGACAGGTCACCAGGCCTAAACTATCATTGCGGAAGAATCCCTAAACGGGGATCCCGCGGCTTCGCGCTAAGCAGCTTAGAGGGTATTCGCAGGGTTTTTTAGCGTATATTATGCCGTAAAGCGCCCGTAAGAGTTACGGGGTCCTCAGTGGGTAGCCACTGCTGGGCGGTGTGCCTTTGAAAAGCTCCGTCATCTGTAAACAGTATTTTTTGCCTGCATATAAAAAAAAGGCCCAAACTATCATATCCATAATAAACCATAATAAAGTCACAAAAAAGAAAAAGAAGAAGAACTATAATAAACATACTGCACTTTTTTATACGAGGCGCAACGAATGACACTACTCCACCTGATTTCAAGTGTAAGTGAAGTCCAGTCGCGAAGATAGATGATTGCCGGCCAGACCCCGCAGAGCCAGCAGCAAGCAGAATAAAAATCAGATCGCTTTTAGTCCCTATCGCTTAAAACGCTATATAAACAGAACACATACAACCAAAAGGTACTATTATTTTACCTGTAAGGTCGACGTAACTTCCCCAGAGGCGCGGGGGCTCTCTTAAAAATTCTACTACTTGAATCGTAGAAACCGACGTACCACGTAAACATACTTAAACGGAGATTGTGATGATTCGAAATACTCTTTTTATTGCTGACAATCATTATAGTTTAGCAATGTAGTGAGTACAAGACATTGTTGAAATGTTACGGCCTACCGTGATATGCCAATAATTATTGCCAAGCCTTCATGGGTGTAACCACGATTTATGTCCATAATTTTACAATGCCAATCAATATGGCAAATGGCGGTAGGCAATATCTCCGGCGTCGGTCTTTTGTCGCACATCAAAGAAGATTACCACAGTAATTAATGCGTTTGTGGCCATACTACCGTTTATCCAGTGTGCAACATGAGCTCAACGGCGCCGCACGTATCGACAGACATGGAGGGGTCAAATGAAAAAGCGGTCGATTTTTTGGAATTATTCCAATACAAACCGTCTCATTGGGATACCCGACAGAAAACCCTTAAAAACCGCGATGTACAAAATGATGTGGGATCAAACAAAATTTATCATTTCCAAGTAAAACAGAATTATTATAGAGAGATAAAATTGGAGCGCCCTTTTGGGGAAGTAACCTCCACCTTGCAGAAATGTTGCAAGGTGGAGGTTATTGCATACCGACAGAAACACAACACAGTGGTGTTGTGTTTTTGTCGGTATGTAATGTTCCAGCACAGTGCATTTTTTCCCCGTCATCGAAAAAAAGGGCTCTAAGGGGGTAGGCGATTGAGTCAGGGTAAAGATTCAGATCGATTCGCAAAGTTTTGAATTTGCCCTTCATTTAATACTTTGTAAAACGATTATAGGTAAAGTAGTTCTTGTAACAGTTTTAATCAGGAAAACTGGCCTCCATTTTAAAACAATTTTGGGTTCATTAACTAATGAAGTGATTAATCTAGCAGCTTATATGATTTAGTTTCCTTATAGTGCTCATAATAAGTACTATTAGATTTGAAAGAAGCTCCAGCAAGATCTTAAATAGCTCAAACTAACTAATAGTGATCACAGCTAAATATGTTATTATATCTTGTCCTCTCACAAAATGCTACTATAGGATCGAAACAGTATTCGCGATTATTTGCTCTTACTGCAAACAATTATAAGAGATTTATTCCTGAAATTGTGGTAAACACAATCTTCTGAGATATAAAATCAAATGCACCTGAGGATAACTAAGTTCGTGAAATGCTGTTACTAGTAAAAGTAGCCTGACTATGTTTTGTAGGTGAGTCTTGTTGCAAACCTTAAGACCGAGATATAACAACTAACGCTCTTGATTATGATAAGACTTGCCATATGCTATTATAAGTTAAAACGTTTGCAGCAATATCTTTGCAAGAACGTTATTAGTAGTGATACACTTATATTCTTTCTTTATAGGATTACTTTGTTTGTTGAGAACACCTTAATTTAAGTACATATGAATCAGCAGCAACTAATCTCAGAGTAATGCACGACACAGCTGGATTATTAGAATTCCCAGTAATTAGTTTAAAGAATGCGAGTTTTTATTTGCTAATCAACTAACGTAGACAATCACTTTACATCTCGACGACGGTGATAGACAATTGGCCAATTAGTCCGTTTACGCAGCGTTAACGCCAACTCAGCCTAGTTTACATCCTGCCGCGTGTGGCATCATGCTCATTAATCAAAAGGAATTTGTCACGTACCGTGTTGACATGTAAGAATAGTGAGAATAACGAATTTTCCACTTGAATGAGGGTGTTTATGATAATTCACCCCACCAGTTGGTGGCACTCTCCACAGTGAAATGATTAAATAAGTATGAGAGATATAAAACAGACATAGAAAAAGAAGCGCCGTGAAACGGCGAGTAAATAGATATCGAGAAAGTACCATAAACATAGAATTTGGAAAAGTTAAGAGCTTAAATAGGTTTTCAATGGAGAACTTAAGAGTAAGTTATTACCTTTGATTATTTACTCTCTAGATAGAACGTGGCAGCGGGGATGAATTTGAAAAAAAAATACAGATCTCATGCTCTACACGACTTAAAAGGGCATGAAAATATATCTACCTATTATAGATTATACAAAAAATATTTTTTTTCTTTTTCAAAATATTTTACATCATCTTAAAGCCCTTCGAATTCCGCGTCTTTTCAGCACTCATACGTCCGCGGGGCGAGCTGCCCGCCGCGTGATATCGCACCTTACACCGCGCAAAACTCGCGGCTAAGGGCACCTCTACAGCCTCGACCGTCACCAATATCGAAAAAAGTGTAATGACCTAAAACGTTCCTTGGTTCAATACCGAGGTGCTTATTTTCATATTTTTGAAATTCGGCTCCGTTCTTGAGATATCGGAAATTTTCTGTGAAAACACGATTTTCCGGTCGAAAATAGTCGGGTTTTTTCGATTTCCAAAATAGTTACTGACTTTGCCAAAAAAATTTTTACATCTTCTTAAAGCCCTTGAAATTTCGATGCGACGCTTCTTCATTTTGCATAAAACTGACAATGTCCGCGCCCCGTCTGGGTCTTAAGTCTTTTCTGTACGTTCCGCGCTTAAAGGAAGTTTCAAAAAAGGAGGGATTAACTTTTTGGCTTTTGCTATTCTGCCGCTTCTAACGGTTTACATCAGCTTGCGAAAAAGTTAGTTTAATTAAAAAAAATCGCAAACAGGATCGCCTCTTGTGTACTTAGTTTAATTATGGTTTTAGCATTATGTTATTTAAAGAGTATAGCAAAGTTAAATCCAGAGGAATAAAGTCATTTCAATTATAGAATAAATTAACTTTATATAGGCATTTCACACGCAACCAATTTAAAAAGATTTATTCACGTTCGGTATTTTTACTAAAATTAATGTAGAGCGCGCCACTCATTATTTTGCATAACAAAGGCTTAACCAAAAATCGGCCATCTAAATTTTCATTGATGCTAAATATTTATTGATCCGTTATTGCTGAAAATTTTCGCGGATATTGGTGTCGATTCTGGCATGCATATCTAAACCTAAAATGAAATTTGACAACAGTGGATCCTTGTTATTCTTTATACAGAAGGAAAAGGAGAGACTGATGTTACGTTTAGTTTAAAGTTTTAGAGAATCAAGCCATAATCGACGCCAATGTGTTGATAAAATGTTGAGAATTATTTTTTATATTTTCTGTATTTATTATAGTTTAATTATTATAGTAGACAAAAACTTTTAATTGCTTACATTAATATTACTTGCATAATTGCATTTTTTTTTAAATGTATGTTAAATGATTAAATTTAATTAATGATAAAATTTATGTACAACACATACTAGCACCCGGCCCATTGCAATAGTCATTATGATAGTAGCAAGTAAAGCAGCTCAAATATAGCATTAACATCTCTATTCACTCTCATTCATTCTGCGACACCAGGGATCCGTGTTCCCTGGCAAAATGTAGTGATGTCCTTTTTCGAGGAAGGAGAAGAATTTAGTTAAAAAGTAAAAACGAAAAGTAAAAACAAAACACAAGTACAGTAGGTAAGTAGTAATAATAAAAGAAAAGACTTCTATTCTATCAAAGTGTCCGTCCACTGGCCTTGGCCAGTGACTTGTCGTAGTATTCGGTGTCGTTGATGATCAGTCTGAAGTCGGTCTCGAGTAGCGAATCGATGGTGTCGCTCGCTCCACGCCGCTATCTTCGGCCTTCACCCGCGTTAATTGTGTACTGACCTGCGCCGGCGACTTGACGTAGTACTCGGTGTCATTGATGATCAGTCTGAAGTCGGTCTCGAGTAGCGACTCGATGGTGTCGCTGGCGGCAATGCGCACGCGCTCGTCTGAAGCCAACGCCGTCGCTCGCTCCACGCCGCGATCTTCGGCCTTCACCTGCGTTGATAAAAGATTCATGAATTCTGGGCAATATACTACGGTGGTTGGTGGCAATACAAATATTTGGATGGATTCGAATCAATTTATTAGAAAAGTTTTATTGATAAACTACTTATTAAAAATATTAAAGATAGCCCTCCTAGGACTTCATATTTAGTAGCACGTCAACTGTTTCATCACAGATCTGTGTCTGCTGCTTTCTCTAAATCATCATCGTCAGCCTAATAATGTCCCCACTGCTGGGGTACAGGTCTTCCCTATGGATGGAATAGAGAGATTGGACCATGACCCACCACGCAGGCCCAGTGCGGATTGGTGGGTGCTAACGACTGCAGATGCAGCCAAGACCAACGGCTTAACGTGCCTTCCGAAGCACGGAGGAACTCGAGATAGAAGATTTTTGGTCACCCATCCAATGACCAACCACTGCGAAAGTTGCTTAATTTCAACGATCGCAGCCGAACGTGTTAACCACCCGCGCAATAGAGCTCATTTCTCTAAATAGCAGCGTTGTATTTTGTATATTTAATAGGTTTGCTCTGCACCTATTCAGCCTGAAAACAGAGATGGAATTAACGACGTAGCGAGCTCACCTTAAAATGTACTTTGAGACATCGTGGTTTGATTAAATATGACGGTAGGTAGGCTGTCATAAAGCCAACAAGGTGAGCTGCCAGCTCCTTTAGCTCCTATTGAACCTTCCACTGAAAAAGCTATGAAGATCAAGACTACCAAAAATAATAATACGTACCTACCTACCTAAATTATCTTTTATTAGTGACAATTCTATTAAAGCTAGAATCACAAAAATATGTTATACTAGTGGCCCACCCTCGCTTCGCTTCGGTGTAGAGCTGTAGTTTAGATTATAGTTTAAGTTCTCGGCTTGTATTATACACAATTATTTTTTTAATATAATTATAAACCTTCAATGAAAATGTATTTAACTAATAGTGAAAATTTTGTTGCGTAGTTTAGGAACCATTGTACCGAATGCACTGTTTCGGTTGAACCCGCAAACCTAAGGACCTAATGATCCTATTTGAAAAAACTGATTTTTGTATTAGATAGTGCATTTATTGAGGAAGGCTTAAGGCTATATAATATTACGCTGCGACCAGTAGGAGCGGAGTATCGATGTAAAATGTTGCTAAAACGGGTAAAATATTCCATTTATGAGATTGCGTTGCGTGCGCTGCGTAAATGATTAAAGTTTCACAAAAATCATGTACGACGAAATTGTTCCCCTTTAAAAGTTCTATAAATAGTCCGCGACAGCATATGCCCACCATCTTTAAAGTTTGACGCACTATAACAGGTTTTCTCAAATTAACGCGGGTGAAACCGCAGGGGACCATTAGTTGTGACATAACTGTAATAGTTAGACGTATGATATTATATATTGCGGACTATTTTGTAGATATTAATCTATAAAACTTCAGTTCATCATTTTGCTCTATTGTCAATGTCTTCCGCAGCGTAAGCGAATTAAAATTATTTTTTGGTATTTTTTTTCACACCCTGGGTTACATTCTCGAATTTTTCATATGGAACCCTAACTTTTTTGAAAATACTCTATGGCCTATGATCAACAGGGATAAATGTAGGATACTAAATTTGCCTATTCAATACAAACAAACAAACAATCAAATCCTTCCTGTTTATAATATTAGTATAGACTAACACAAATCACAAAATTTAATTGTGTTATATTCGTTTGGTAAATAATTGCAGACACGATTGCCTAGTACTAGTAGAATCTCAACAAAGCTTTTATAATAGCAGTGAGTTATTACTCAATTTTCACTGGACTATCTTGGATTCGCAGTGGAATGTGCTTGCTCTTAAAGCTGGCTGGTATCATCTATCATCGCCAATCCCTTTTCGCTTAATATTCTTTTAAAATACCAATGCTGGGTAGCGGTATATCTTTGCTTTTTATGAGTAATTATTTGTTCTTTAGTTTTTTCGTATCTCTTATTCCCGTTTTGTAAACATATGAAAATAGTACAGTGCACTGTATATAATACTTAATTCAAGAAAATAACGTCATCCCTAGCAAATTAAGTCCGGAATTGGATCATGCTGAATTTTACAGAAATACGCGAAATATTCATTTTATTTACACGAACACAGACTGGGTTATTTCCAAGAATCTTTACGTTAAATATCAGTAGAATTTAATTATAAAATACATGTGTGGATTCCCTGCAATGTGAAGAGATGGCGCTGCCTTGCAGCTCAAGAAAGGCTAGAGAAAGTTCGACAGGGCCATTAGGGCCGCGGTAGCATAATGGCCAATGCATTCGCCCGGATAGAGAAGGGTGCGGGCTCGAGTCCCGTCTGCTGCCTGGGTCCGCGTCGATTCTTTTCTAGTAAAATTTTCTTTAGATTTAAACATCTAGCAGTTAGATGCTTAAAAAAAAATGTCGCTATAAAATACATGCTACGATAAAATGAGAAAAGCGCATTTTCCAGTTACCTCCTTCCGAAAATCTGTATCTGCATTTCTTGTAAACGCACGTTCTTCCAAAGACTGAAGTCATAAAGATTTACGACAAGAATCCGCGACGAGCTAATCTACGTAATGGAAGACCTTTCAAAGATAATTATTTAAATAAACTACGGTTGGTCGGTCTGTTTTGGGCTATCGTTGCATTGCACTATTTAATTCAAAACTAAAATCTCGGATGGATATTAGCATAGAGAGATTTTGTTATCGTTTTATGAGTCGGTAGAACTGCATTTAAAACCACTGCAAAAAGCAGTTTCATTCACGTTTTAAAAACGCCTTATTCAACATAGGTCGCGGCAAACTTCTTGAGCAAAACCATAGACAAATAAACTTGCGCACTAGACGTTTTTGTATGTAAAATTGCTACTGCGCAGGCTTCCTCATCTATGGTCGTTGCTCAAGAAGTTAGCCGGGATGTATAAGTTGTTTTCCTCCCATTTTAAGGGGGAAATGAGTGCAGTGGCGGTTTATTTTAAGTACTGCTTTTAGTATTTTAACTCTGTAGAAAATTCTTTTACTACTATAAATATGCCAGTGCCGAGCTTTTATAAGTTAATACGGAAACCGTGGGACTTAAGGTAGGTTTTTTACTTTACTATTTAGCGGTAAATATTTTTGGAAGATACACTAAAATCGGACACCCTTAAAGTGGTCATACGCAGACTGCTCGAGCAGTAAGCCAGTGATCAACAGCCTTTTCACCACCCGCGCTGTCGACTGCCCGAAGCAGTCGCAACTGCTCGAGCGGTTCCGTGTATGCGTGTACGTAGAGCACAAAATTGACATAACAGAAGGTAATGTCATGTATGTACTTTATTTTGCATACCTACGCTCGGCGTTCGCGCTGGAATTTTCAACATTGGCATAAGCACAAAAAAACTATCGTGGTAATGGCACTATGGCACCAGTATCTAGTCGTTTGATTTATTGTCGAGAATGTTAAAGAGAGAACTAAAATATCAACCAATACCAACCAAAAATTTGATCTTTGATCATTTTAATGTTATTGTTATATTAAAAATTAAAAATACAATTCAACGTTTAATGTTGAATTTAATTAACCGTCTACTAAAAAGATATATTAACTTGTTTTTTTTTTGCTCCATTTCTGCACAAAAAAGTTTACCGACGCCTGTCGTAAGTGGGTGGAACTCGCAATCCCAGTAGTCTGAAATGATTCGAGATATCGTGTCCGTGAGCGGTGTCTATATGTGCGTTGCTCGAGCGCACTTTGTATGTAGAATCCTGTAATGTCTGTTTTATGGTAGAAGACTGTAGTTTACTATGCAGTTGCAACTTGAAGAAGTTCATCCTAACTGCCTTTTGGGCTCTTGATCTTGCCGTTGGTCCAATTCAAATTTAATGTGAACTCTGTTCTTTCTAGCTAAGACCCTGAATCACAGTGATGGTTACAATAATAGGTAACGTTTGTATTAACTGTGCTACAGCCGATCTCCGTGGCCGAGTGGTATATTCGCCGCGCCGGGTTAGAATCCCGGTGGGGCAAATGTGATGAATACGAGCATATATATTATTATTTAATTATATATAAATTTGATACACCTACATAAACTACTCAGATAAAATACATTAATAAATATATACATACATAAAATACAATAAATATAATATAATATAAATAGATGCAAACTATAAATAATAACAAAAAAAAGAGATTACGTAGTCAGGTCAGGAAGTGTTCACGCACTAGTTTTTCAACTCCATCTTATTGTTAGGGCTACGAATGCTGAGTGGTAGAGCATTCCACAGGCGTATGGCAGTAACAGAGAAAGATTTGGATCCAAAGCCAGAGTGATGAGTGGGGATTTGTAGAGTAAGATTTCTGCACGAGCGAAGAACACGATGGTTGGAAGTGCCCAGAAATTGAAATCTAGATTTCAGGTACTCTGGAGCACGTGGATGGTATTGCGTGATTGAAAAGCATGCAAAGTAATCTGAGGTTTCTTCGGCCACTAATAGGCAACCAGTTAAGTTTATGTTTTCTATCAAGCCTTACATTGCTTACTCTGGGGCTAGACTAATTGGTGTGAGTGTTAGAAATATTGTCAATATACCTGTTCTAACAGGTCTCCCACGGTCTGCGAAACGGGCCGCAGTGTAAAGCGGCATCGCTCACGACGCGAGGGCAGCGGCACCGTGATCACTGGCAGGCCGCGCCGGTACGTCACCGTCACCTCTGAAACAATATATCCTGCTTCAGAAATACATCGTAACCTAACTCCCACTTTATACCTTAAGTTATGTACATAAATCATAAATCTCATTATACAATATCTTATTGAAGTAGTATGAATAGATTATTTTTATGGGTTTGGGTGTGGATTCATTGGATATAAAAAATTATGTCACAATAAGGAATTATGAATAAGACGTCCTCTCCTCTTCCAATCGCGATACCCTACAGGGTCCATAATGCATGTTTTATCTGTTAAAATTACCACCTTTGTATCAACATTATGGTCTGCAATAAATGTTGAATTGAATTGAATTTATGGATGACGGGATGGCAATGGGGAGCATACGACCCGCCATTATAACCTCGCGATATTAAGAAGTATTCATCGCCGATTACTTTATCTTGAGGAGCTCGATGGCGTCAGCGTTTAGTTTTTGAGAGTTCTTTGTTCGAGAAACTTCCAGAAACTTCCAAAATGGCCGGTCATTGGATGGATGACCAAAAACTTATTAGTTGAAGCTCCTTCGAGCTTCGGAAGGCATGTTAAGCCGTTAGTCCCGGCTGTATCTGCAGTCGTAAGCACACATCAACCCGCACCTGGACCGCGTGGTAACCATCGCCCATTCTTCTTATGTTATCCATTAGGAAGGCTTGTACCCAGGGCCGTCTTTAACCTATTGGAGACCCTGGGCATATTAGGATATTTAGGCCTCTATGACTTTGATGTGGATTATGACTTGAAATGGAGCGAATCATACTGATGAGTGTACTACTGATGATTTTTCTTTAAAATGTGTATGTGCTTATGCCTATATTATAATGCCTATAGCATTATATGCATATTTAAATTTATCTAAGCATGCTGAAGTCGGAAAGCCTTATTTTTCGGCGAGAGTAGAATAGCTTCGCTTCTATAAAAGCTAGGAAGTTGGTATTGTAGTGAGTAATTTAGGTTCGATTTCATCAATTTATATAAGTTTTTTGGTAATAAATATTGGTTATCGTTTGGTGATCTGACAGTAACTAGGGACTTTGTATTTGATCTGAGGGGGGGCCCCTATCGATCGCGGGGCCCTGGGCACTTGCCCAAAGTGCCCACTGGGAAGAGGGGTCTGCTTGTGCCCCAGCCGTAGGGACATCAATACGTACCGAAGGTCATCGATAGGTAGGGCTCAGCCTACCGAATGCGAGGTTACATGATCACTCAACATATGATTTAGAGACATTTGAAAACAATAGTATTTTAACAGGTACAAGAATACTCTTTAAATAAAGTTCGCTGTTTCCGCAAAAAGAGAAGCTTGATAGTCTAACAATCCGTGAGCTTAGAAACATTGTTTTAGTACGAGTCGAACCGTTTCAAATGAAGACGTTTGCTCAAAATGTAAGGTGAATGTTAACCGTGAATTGGTTTCGCGTCGCCGCCATGCCGCTCCGCTCCACTTACAGTACAGTCGAGCGCACAAGTGTTCCCGCTATTACGAGTATACAACCGATTACCAATTAATTTCAAATAAACACGATAACGATATCCTAAGATTTATCGCACTACGTAGCAGATGGCACGCTTTAATATACGTTTTTGATTTCTTGTTCCCAACATAATAGCAGTTTCGTGTTTATTATTTGCATTCTGTTTGACTGTTGGTTTTCTAGGTGGACGTAACGGTAAGAGATATTAATTTTAATTGGTTGTTCGTATTAAGATTGGTCTTGTTTAACGTAAGTAAGCTACGAGTTATTGAAGATATGACATTAAGATTTCCAATCCTGACGGCCTATTCGCATTTTTTTTTATATTTATAGTGTGTAACTAAAAAGTAAATTATATAGCCATGATGCTTTTCAGGACAAGTATTTGGTGGCGTTTTAATTAAGCATTGAATCAGCAAATAACTCAGTAAATATCACATCTGTCAAAAACAGCGAATAGGCCTACTGATCATAATAATATGAAGCTTCCTCACACCTTAATACAAATTATACTGATAGAATTAAGACACTGTTCTTTTAACATTATCTTAAATCTATAAGTATAATTTTGCTGTTTTACCACCCTTTGGATACAAACAAGCTTACAAAACCAAAAAAAACTCGCGCGTTGCCTACCCTGAAGCAATCCCCTAACTATTGGAGCTGGAATGCTTGCTCAGCGCAGAAACACAACACCACCAAAAGGTAATGTCATTGTACTATGGTCTTCTGTAAAGTGAGGGTTACTTCCCCAGGCGGGCGCTCTAAATCGAGCGGTAAATCCGCTATGAACTGCCTCTCCTACACAATATTTTTAACCTCAAACTTTTTATATAAAGCAAAAGTATAATATGCGCTTAGATAAAACAATTAATCAAGCAAATTATGCTCACGACAGTACAAGAAAAGTCATTGTAAGACTTTCAAGCAGACTAATCGTTCAAATGAGGCGCACAGTGGTAAAAGTAAATAAATATTTAATGAGTTAACTGAAGTTAACTCGGAGTTATTTAACTAATTTTGATAACACGAAGCGCCGTAATTCAATCATGTTCTGTTCATAGCTAACTACGTGGAAATACAACTTTTGTACCAAAAAAATACAAATCTCCAATTTAAATTGATTTACGAGCAAAGCGACCATGGCATTATTTAATATTTCAAAATAAGTGTACTGTAAGATTTTAGCAAATGATCAAAGAAAAAAGGAATCCCTTTTCAATGATAAACGGAAACAATTGGACTGAATAATTGGGGTCGCTTAGTAGTTTGTTGAATGAGTTTGTAAATGGTTGAATAGGAATCGACGGGGCCTTCCTCCTTTTCACAAGTTTCTTTGAACACTTTTTGTATGATTTACATTAATTCGTCAATTTTCTGAAGTAGCAGGCAAAATCGGGTTCTTTTGAATCATTTCTTCTTAAAACATTTTTGCGTAATGAAGCTTTTTAAAAGTATTAAAAATATATTAATATTAAAAGATCTTTAGAGAAAGGTTATATGTTATATGAGTGGAAACATAGGTATAGTCTCGTAATAGCGAGATTCTTTGTCCAGGAGTAGAAACATTGATATGGCTTTAGAATATAAAGGTATTAAGCGATAATGCTACCTTATTTGAAGAATTCCACGAACTTTTATCGAGTTTGAACAAACTGAGATTTTTTTTTTCTGTATTTTCTTTACTATTATTCTAAAATATTATCACTGCCTTTAGTTTAATCTTACTTCAAATTAAAAATCTGCTTCATTTATTCTTTATTCGGCTAAATACAAAAATACTAGGTTTCCAGCATTTAGGTGCTCTTGCACATACCTACACATATTATTCAATGAATGACATATTCTTAGCCTGACGACCCTTCAATGTGTGTAAGCTGGAGTTGTCGTCCGTGAATGAATCCTTCAATTGGACTAGTCCATTTAGCAAGTATATCTCCTTCAGTCGGTTCGGTCATTCGGGTCCCAATTAGTTCAGTACTTCATCTAGTTCACAGTTTTCTGAAGGAGAGTAAAGCGAACGGATAGATAACAAACACCACGTGCGGAAGCGAGACAGTTGCACGGCTCCGGAGTCAGAGTCCGCCCGCACTCAATTTATTGCACAAACAATTATATAAAGGCTTAGATTTACTTAAATATTAATTGAAGGCGTAATTTAAGAGTATACATTTTTTAAAAAACATTTTTTGTTTATTATCTATCTAGTGTACTTTAACTTAAAACTAAAGGATATTCTATTTGTCATTCTATATACAAATAATAAGGCCTTAAAAGTAAGTACACCTGTGTAAATTCGTATGTAAAATCTGTAAATAACTGTAAAATACAAACATTTCAATTGTTATAATAATCTTTAAGTTCATCATCATCATTATCAGCCTATTAAGGTCCGGTGTCAGGTGCAGCCGGGACCAACGGCTTAACGTACCTTCCGAAGCACGGAGGAGCTCGAGATAGTAAATTTTTGGTCACCCATCCAATGACCGACCACTGCGAAAGTTGCTTAACTTCAACGATCGCAGCCGAACGCGCTAGCCACCTGCGCCATCGAGCTCCCCAATCTTTAAGTTACGACTGCATTATGTTATTTATCTACAAAATTATAAACACAAATTGACGTGACGACTCATACCTAATCATTAGAACTAACTACGGAACAGATTAACCTATACGAATGAAATAACGCGATTGGACTTAATGACAAGGTGACTCAAATGGACTAATGAAGTACCTACTGAGCCAAGTGAACTAGATGAGTGATATACTTCATCTAGTCCAATTGGACTTTATCACTCTTTACACTTCAGTGAAGTATTTTGCGCATGTCTAGTGTACGCATTGTAAGCGGCGTCGTACGCGCATATGAAGTCGTAGCAGACAGTCGCCCGCCATATGTAATTGCCCTGTCACTTACCTAATTATCATCGCACCATTCAGCAAGCGTTTCACCGCCATGTTTGATTTATAGATATCACCCTTGCTAGCATGCAACTCTTTTTTTCTTATTCCACTTCAAGATCAATGATTCGTTGTTTATCTTTTTTAGATTTATTAATGTACTTCTTTTTCGAAAGCGGCCGGCGCGCAAAAGTGAAATGTTGTTACGCTGAATGTGTTCATTTGAATACGTTAGTTACTTCATTATAATTGGAATGCGTTCAAAATCTTATTGCTTTACACTTCCATAAATAAATAAATAAATATTTCCAACACTCACACCAATTAGCCTAGTCCCAAAGTAAGCACTGTAAGGCTTGTGTTATGGGATGCTAGGGTAACGGATAGAATACATATCGTCATTGCGACTTTAAGACCTCCCATGTGTAAAATTCTTCAATGCGAGATATTCAATAAAAACTGTCTACTGAACCAATCCCCTAACTATTGGAGCTGGAATGCTTGCTCAGCACAGAAACACAACACCACCAAAAGGTAATGTCATTTTACTATGGTCTTCTATAAAGTGGGGGTTACTTCCCCAGGCGGGCGCTCTAAATCGAGCGGTAAATCCGCTATGAACTGCCTCTCCTACACAATATCCAACACTCACACCAATTAGCCTAGTCCCAAAGTAAGCACTGTAAGGCTTGTGTTATGGGATGCTACGGTAACGGATAGAATACATATCGTCGTTGCGACTTTAAGACCTCCCATGTGTAAAATTCTTCAATGCGAGATATTCAATAAAAACTGTCTACTGAAAAAAATATAAGGAAACTAAATATAACAAAAAATACAAGTGATAACTAGAGGGTTTTATGATTTTTATTTTGCTCTTGTCATTTTAAATAATAAACGAAATTGTAGTAAAAAAAATAAAAAACAATTCAATGTGACACATAAGAGGTTTTGGTTGCGCGTTTTGTATCACATTAGAGAATATAAGTATGTAAAAGGGATTGAGATTCAAAACACATGACTTTAAATTATACAAGTTATTTGTTTTTAAAATTATTCATTGCAATGACAATAGTATATAATAGTGGTTTTATGTATTGCTCAATAGTGGAGTGAACACTGTCCACCTCCATCATGGTGTGCCCTTTTTTATGTTTAATAGGCAAGGCGTTTGACCAAAATCTCGCCTGATGGAAAGCGATGATGGGGCTTAGGATGGTACACGCCTGCCTAGAAGATGCTTGTTCCCTCTGGCCTTGAAGATGTCCAGATTATATTGGTCCGGGAAAACAGACCTCGGTAAGGAGTTTCACTCCCTAG